TTGGTATTTTTTCCTTTCATTTGGCAGAAACGGGCTTCCATAGCAGGCGCCTTTTGAAGGAGGTTGTATTTCATGATGTAACACTAGAGGGCAGCAGAGAGACTTCTGCTCACAGAGCAGAGATTTCTGTCCTTCAGCAGCAAATAAAAGCAAACATCTGTAGACGTCAGCATTAATCCTACCTGCTGACCTCCATTTATAGCAGAAAGCAGGTCTTTATTATAAAGTATAGTTTTATTTCATCATTAATTCAGAAAAATGATGTGTGCTTAGAAAGGCATGTCTCTAAATATGCTAGGAATCTCTAAATGTTCCTGTCCAGTGAGCATGTGGGAAAACTCAGGAAAATAGAAACTCCAGAGATTAAATTCAAACATTTGTTTTTTTTTTTCACTGTGGGGTTAATTGCATCTTAAACTGACTGTTGGTTTGTTGAATTTCTATAACAATTGTAATTTAAAAACCATAGATATGAATTATTCCACTAATATATGAATGTAGTTATTATTCTTTATCAGATCAGAAAGTGTTGCTTGTAGCAGATTCACATAAATCCCTAAACAAGTAACTTAAAATAAAAGATTTGTTACAAATTTTGTACAAAAAAAATGTAAAAGAAAAACAACATAAACGGCCAAATGAGGAGTTCTGATCATATTTACAGAAAAATATGTTTTTATTTCACTTTAACGTAAAACGTGTGTATTTTGGTAGAGTTTCTGTTTAATTGCTGTTCTGAGTTTTTCTTATAGTGAACATTTAAAGTCTGTACTCTCTAGTTTATGATTACTTGATCACTAAACGATTATAGGTTAAATGTTTAATAACAATAAATTCAGTCATTTATTTGAGCTTTAGTGATTCATTCTTAAAATAAGACCTGAGACATGAAATACAGAGTTTAATGAACTCAGGTGATCTGCCTCATCTCTCCCTTACAGTGGACACAAATGGCTCAACTTCATCTGCCTCCTCTGTTGCTATGGGAACCCCGGTCTGGATGCTGGCGCCAGCGTTGCCCTCAGAAGGGTCAGAAGATCGTTTCCAGAGAAGTCTCTAAATCCTGCTTTATTCTGACAGCAGCGGTTATTTAGAGATCACTGTCAACTCTAACTGAAGCAGATCTGAGATCTGTAACCTTCTCAACCAGCAGGAGACCCGTTATTCCTCTACTGACGGAAGCAGCTTGGAGGAAAGAGGCGCCAACATGGCGGACCGACGCCCTCAGGACGGGAATCAGCTTAACCGTTTCAGAGCAAAAGGGAACAAAGCGATAATTTGGGATTATTTTAATTATTTTGATGGTTTTTATTTTGTTTAAATACCAACAGGCCATAACGAAAACGAGTGTGAGATCAATAAAATTAACAGACAGAAATTTAAAAAATGCAGCTTTTACCGAATAGAACTTTAATAAAGTTATTATTTTACTAACTGTGATCATTTGGCCTCTTCTTTGTTTTTAAATGATTTTTTTTCCAGACAAAAGAGAAAAAAGCAAATCAATAATTACATCTATGAGATGCTTTAAGTTTTTTTTTTCTAATTTAATTAAAGACTTGCATTTTAAACCATTCCTTGGTTTCTGCTGGAGGCCATTAAAGATGTTCAACTATGAAATTCTATTCAGTTTATTTCTATAGCTCCAATTCACATCATGTCAACCCCCCCAAACTACTGTCTAAATTATACAGGACACTGACTAAACTGGATGATACAATATCTGTTCCTATTACTAAATGGGAGTGTCATGATTTTACTAAAGTTCAGACCCAAATGCAGAAGACCAAACAGGGAGACCAGGAGAAAAAGTTTAACAGGATTTATTGAAGAGATAATTCAGAGAGAAGTGTTGCTCTGAGCACTGCTCAACCAGAACTGAAAAGTGAGGGGAAGACACAGCGGTAAGTTCAGGCTCAGTGGGGAATTTGGTTCGGGAACTTGGAGAAGAGGATTTGGTTGCTGACTCTCGTTTCCAGAGACGTTGTTGAATCTTTGACTCCTGTGTGTTTGCCGTGGTTCCAGTGTTTGTCTGATTCAGCAGAATGCAGTTGTTTGTAGGTGAACGGAGAAACTGACTGCCACTCAGATTTCCTGCGGTACTTCAACGAGTCATAGTGGAGAATAATCCCTTTCTCAGTGTGAAGCTCAAACGATCTCTTGGGGAAAGTGGATCCAAACCTCCTGTTTGAACCCCAGCTCAGTTGATCCTTCCAGGGAGAGAAGGTCCGAAAAATCCAGTTAGCAGGATGACTTCCTGCCGAGAAGCAAAGACAAAAACAATGTTAAAACTCAGGTTGGCTAGAGTACCCTAAACTGGCGAACACTCTGGCGTCGAGGTAGCGGCAGTCAGCAGCTTGAGAACGCTCCGTTAACGAGGAAACCATCAGCAGGTGAGTGAGGAGGCGGACCAGAACCAGGCGCCTCCTGGTGGAGGAAGGGAGACAAACACAGAAACACAAACACACAGACAGGAGTCCTGACAGGGAGGAGGATTTATCAGCCAGCTTTGAATAAAACATCTGGGCTCAGATTGTCTAAGAACTTTTAACATGACTAGAAACCCCAATTTACAATTAATACAATACAAAATCCTCCACAGAGTGCACTATACAGTTTAAAGATTATTCAGGATGGGTTTTGCACAATCTAAGTGTGAGGGATGTGACTGCTTCTAACTCTTCCTGCTCAGGCTGAGGGAGCAGGGAGGTGCTCAGTAGATCTCCCCTTTGGCAAGGTGTGTGTTCCACTTTTTCACTGGGGAGTGTTGCACAACAGGAGGCACAGCAGACTGCTGGTTTGAAACCCTCTAACAAACTGTGGACGCTCCTTAAAGCCGGTGTTCTGTCACATCAGCATATCTATAGTCAATATATAGACGGCAGATTTGTGTTTATCTCTTTAGCTCTGTACAAAAAATAGACTTTAAACTACCTTGATGGGCGTGAATCCCTTTAAACTCAAGGTCAGATCTCCATATGCTTAAAAAACACCAAAAAGTAATTGATTAAATAGTTCTTATGAGGTAGTTTAAAGTTTATTTTTCGTACAAAACTAAAGGGTTTTGACTATAGGTATGCTGATCTGACAGAACAGGCAAACATTGTTCAAGTTTTTGCCCTTTTCATAACGATTCTCCAGTCGCACAAAAATTTTTTTTCGATCGGGCATGGTCGAAAAGAACACATGGTGAGTTGCGAACTTTAAAACCCTGCAGCTCCGTTGTACGGTTTGAGCTGTAGCGATTGAGAATATCGCACAGTGTATGCCCAGCTTTACCAACCACCTTACGACGGCCGACTGAATTTCAAACATGTTTGATTTTCTCCCAATCTTACGATACCTGATGAGGAGATGCTCGTTAGAGGCTGATTGCCCCGCGTTACCTCCTGTATACCACATGACGCGGGACGCACCAGGAGGTTGAACTCGTCCCGATTTAAAAAATTCTCGCATGACTTGAGAATTGGCCGAAAAAGGGCAAAAAATCGTAAAAATTGTATGGCCAGCTTTACCAGAACCCCGAGCACTGCGCATTTCCAACCAACAGAGGTCTCCTTCTTCTTCCAGATAGACGAGTCCGACCAGCGCCATCTCTCTGAGTCTGACGTGTGCTTTTTATACGTAAAGTGTGAGCAGGTAGATCGTATCAGAGCGTTGTACAGTGTGAAAACATAAATTGTTAGCTGTAGCTGCGTGTAATGACTGAAAATATCGCACAGTGTATGCCCGACTTAAGCAGACCAATGCCTAATTCACTCAGTCATTGGTTAGCCAACCAGGTTAGGTTAGTCTCCTAACCTCTGTAGACCCGAAATCTCAAACTTCAGACATTACAGGATATGCTAATTAACCACGCCCCCTCAATGTCTTAAATCATGGCTCCGCCCCCAGTGCATATAAACGTTTGATTGGCTCTGTGACCAGCATGTGACTTTATCTTTGTCTCATGTACTGGAACCAGTTATAAACAGCCGCTGTATTCATGAGATAATTTAATTCTACTTGAATCAAAGTTCAGTCAGATCCGCAGAAGCAGAACTATTCCTGAAAGCTTCAGGACGCGGTTTGGTTCTGATTGCATGAGCAGATGCACACGCATGTAACATCCAGATTGATCCGTAGTCAGCAGGTTCTCCTGCGAACCGAGTCACTGTGATTCAGCTGTTTTCATACGACTCCCTCAGTAACTCTAGTCAGAGAAGATGTCAGCTGTTCTGCCTGCAGATCCTTAAAATAACCTGGAACAGCCCCTCCCCCGGCTGGACTGCCCTCACAGGGTCAGGTTTGCATAAACAGGACAGAGCGACGAATCAACTCTGGAAGAAACTGTGGATTTCCCTGGAGGTGAGCAGCGCTTTCTGCTGACTGGCTTTGATGTGGAGGGTTCCTAAATCAGAGACTTTGCTTCTGCATCGAACCCTTCTGGTTTGTTGTGAAATGCTGCTTTATTTACTCTCTTAATATCCTTCATGTTTTAATATCAACTAAGTTAAGCTTATAATTGTTTCTGCTCAGTTTTAATTCCAGGTTTAGAAAGGTTTCAGGTTCTCTGACTTTTGTTTCAGGCTCTGCAGGAGATGTTGGGGAAAAATCACAGGATCTCCATGAGGACCCTTTGAACCCACCTGAGGAGAACATCATCTGTTTCCGTTGTTTCAAAGTGTTGGACGCATCATGGCGTCACCCAGCATCTCTCACTTAGGTTCTGCAGGTTCTGCTTTGGCCTTTGAGGATTATTCTCTCTACAGTAATCTGAGCGATGACCAGCTGCTGCAAGTCGCCATCGAGCGCAGTCTGACAGAAACGCACCACAGCGCCCCCACTGACTACAGCGCCACCGCTCCCGCCACTACCAGCCCCCCACAGGCGTCACAATCCCAGGACAACAAGCCGAACCCGCCAAGCACCGACAGATACCAACGTCGAGTCTCGAGCGGCCAGAATCCAGCCGCGCCGCAGACCAGCGTCACTTACAGCTCCCCGAACCCCCCGACTGAGAAGCCTCCTGACATGTGAGTAGCTTTGATTTTCCTCTTGCAGCTGGAATGAACAGCTGGCTTCCAAAGCCCACCTGAAGAACGGCTTATGTAACATCAAAACATTATGTGCTTACTCCACATCTGAGGACACATTTCTACGTTTCACATAATAAACTAGAACAATTTCAAAGCAATCATACAATGACTAAACCAGATTTTAAAACAGCATTGATATTTTTAGCTAATTTAAAATCGCCATCTATGACGACGCAAAGGCTGTTGACTTTGGGACCCAAATAATTTTGGAGTAATCCCAAGTTAATGTGGGCAGATCCAAAGACCATGTTCTACCATCATTCCGCTTTAAACATTTCTTGGCTGACCAAGCCTTGATGTCACTAACGCAGGTGAGTAGGGGTGTCACATGGCTCTGGTCGTTCTTGGCTATAGGCATTCACATTTGACAATCATCAGCGTAAGACATGCCATGCTTCTTAAAAGCAAAAAGAATGGGGCCCAGGATGGATCCCTGGGGGACTCCACAGTGATGTGGGGCAGAATATGAGGTATATACTGAGGTGTCCTCAGTATATTAATACATTAACGCATTAATGTTTGAGAGCTACTGGCAGGTAGTATCTATACTGTATCTAATGCCTATTAATATCTCAAAGGCTCTGATTGGCTGTCATAGTTGATCTATATGATCTGATTGGCTGCTTTGATTTTTCTCTGTGCTCTGACTGGCTGTTTTGGAATGCTGGCAGGAAGACTTTTGATGGAACAGTGAGCCGGTTCATGACAGGTTCTGGGAAGAGGATGGTGGCATATTACAGACCAGATGGCAGTTTGGTCCACATTGCTCCAGAACCTGAAGAGTGAGTTCTCTCTTCTATATTTTTCTTTAAACCTTGAAGATAGGACAGGTAGGAAGTCTGAATTAAATGGTTCCTTTCTACTTGAAGATTTTCCACATCTCACCTGTTTCTGTCTCTTCAATCGTAGTGATTATAGGACTTTCATTTGCTTGACATTTAGAGGTTGCTTCCTAAGCTCTGAATTATTTGAACTTGTGTCTGTTTTGGAAAACATAGCTTTTTAAATGAGACTAAAACCCATGGACCAAATAATGATGATTGAAATTATTTTATCCTTACAGGGAGGAAGAGCCTTTGTTTCGAGCGATCCGTGAAGGTAAGGCTACCAAAGTGAAAGCCTTGGCGACATGTCGCGGAACGAACCTGATGCTTCCCAGTAAACCTGGCTGGCTAGCGACTCACCAAGCAGCGTGGTTTGGACAGGACTCCTGTTTGCGAATGCTGCTTTCAGGTACCTGCACACCTCAGCATGCCCACCCAGGGACACCATAATGTCATAACGAGCAATGGCTTCTTTTGTGCTTAGCTCAACCAGGAATGGTCAACAAGAGGACATCACGTGGTGAGACACCAATAATGGTGGCTGTCAGCAGGGTGCAGCTGGGATGTGTTCAGGTGCTGCTGGAACATGGAGCTGATGCTGAAATCCCCAACAATGAAAAAGAGACTCCATTGTATAAAGGTAACAAGCAGACAGTCGTGTATCGAAACCATCATCATCAGATAGTCAACTTTAGTGAGATAACTGCCGTTTATGTTACTGGAGCCCTTAGGCAGCCCTGCCTGACAAACTAACACGTTCCTGCTGTAAATATACCCATGTGGAGTCAGGGAAGCCCAACTAAACCCTATTCACCAGTTGTCCTCATTATCCAGGACCAAAACCTTCCTTAATAAAGCAGTTTTATATAACCTCAGTTTCAAGGACACTACCAGCATTTTTTTTTGTATTTAACACACCACAGGAAATGAGGTCATGTTTAGTAAACACAACCTGTCTTAAGTAACCCAATCCCAGAGGTTTAGGGTCCAGATTTATGTAAAATGTTAACTTTTTTCCCTGCAGCCTGTGAAAGAAACAGTGCCGCGATTGTTGCAACCCTGCTGAACCACGGAGTGGCTGTAAACACCCGCTGCATTCAGGGCTGGACAGCTCTCCAGGAAGCTGTGGTCCAAAGCAACATGGAAATCTGTGAGATGCTACTGAAGGCTGGAGCCAAACTCAACACCCGCAACATGTATGGTCTCACCCCCCTCTTCACCGCCGCTCAGAACGGGCAGATGGCTTCACTGCGATTCCTCATCAAACACGGTACAGGAAAAGACTTCTACTAATCATTCAGGTGGAAGTTAAGGCTCAGAACTGCCCAGGTCCAAACCATTTTGGACCCAGACTAAGCTCAGAATCATGACTAGCAGCAACAGATACTAAACCAATTTTTGGGTAACAGGAACTAAAGTACTATAATTCTCAATTCTGCTCTTATGGACCAAACGTTCCAAGCATCTTGTCATGATGGGTCGAATATATTTGACCTACATGCAGAAGCACTCACAGAGACTGAGAAAGGTTTTACAGTTTATTGGGGGATAACTGTACAGAGATAGGGAAAAAAACGTTCTTCAGCTTAGGGAGGTTCCTGCAGTCAGGTGAACCGGAAGCGTTAGCTCTAGGAGGACATCAGACTGGTGAGTTCATGGACTGTAGAAAAACTGGCCGAAGGTCTGAATACTAGGTTACCTGAACTCACTTTGGTTGTTGGGGAGGGTTTCTAAGATCCCGTTAGTGGTGGCTTGGTGTGTTGAAGGTTTAGTTCATTGGAGGGCGGACAGGCAGACTATGGAGATCCTGAGGAGCAGCTTAGCAGACTGACACTTGGTTCCCGAAGGGCTCAGCGTTCAGGTGAGGAGATCTGTCTCCTTTTCTCAGTGTGACGAGTGTTTCCCATCCTGACTTAAAAGGCCAGCTTATCCAGTGGATCTGGAAAATCCTGCCAGAGAACCAAAGACAAACTAGGTTAGCACTGAAAGGGCTCAAAAGACACTTAGACTCAAAGTAGACTCTGCTAACTCTGAGGGGTAGAGTATCCAATACTGGCAAACACTCTGGCGAGGAAGTGAAGACAGTCTGCTCCTTAAATATTCCTCAGGAAGTGATGACCCAATAGGCTGCAGGTGTGAGGTGAGAAGAACAGGAAGCCCTCCAGACCAGCAGAGGACCATGGCACCATCTAGTGGGTGCACGGTGGAACTGCAAAAGAAAAAAAGAAGCCCCACAAACTGGTATCCTAACACATCTCCTCTCTTCTTTGTAGCTATTTAAGCAGTTTTATTCATTGGTTCAGTTTAACACCAGTGAGTCCAATGGTACAAACAGAAATAAATTAGACAATGGTACAAACAAATAAATTAGACAGCTCATCAGCAAACCGAAACTAGTTAAAAGTTGTTTTCAAAAGTGAAATATTAGGCCATTGTTAGTAATGAAAAAGACATACTAGCTCTATATACTGTATATGTTGTCAGGCTCATTAAATCCCCCCCATTTGTGAACTAAGGCTGTGTCCAAGGCTACGTTCACACTGCAGGCCTTGATGCTCAATTCCGATTTTTTTTTGTAAAATACGATTTTTTTGCGTTACCGTTCACATTTCCAAATATATGCAACTTGTATGTGATCTCCTGTGTGAACTGCATTCATACAGATTAAGTGTTTGGAATGCGCAGTAGAGGACGCAATGATGTCACAACCCTGCATGCTTCGTGTTTACAGAGGTAAACATGGATGTGGTGCTGGAGCGCATCTAGAGATCTTTCCCACCCTTAAACCCTC